ATATATATATATATATATATATATATATATATATATATATATATATACACACACACACACACACATAGTATTGCTAATGTGGCCACGGGTGCATGTACATTGCTTAATGAATTAACTCAGTTTATTTTTTCCTAAGGAGGCAAAGTAGCTAGTACACAACAGATATAAATGGCCATAATGAAATTTGCAACAAGCAAATATGATTTTGAGTCCCAAGAACTCTATTATTTTAGGGGAAATAATTTTGGTTTTGATTTTGTATTTCAACTCTAAAGGGAGCTAAATGTTTTTCTTCAGACTCTCCAAATAAATTCCAAAAAGCCTGAGATGTTGAGCCATTCTTACAGGTGGTATGTAAAGACTGTGTAAGTTACACATATTTACACTGCTGCAAGGGAGTTTAAATAGGTATATAACTTAAATGTGTTGAAGGACTCCAAGAAATGGCAATACATCAGGAAAAGCAACTAACAGGCAGTTGTACAAAGCTGTAAGTTAGAGGACCTCTCTCTATACATGCTCAGGCTAGGCTGCCTGTGTGTAAGTTACCCCAGGGTAGACTCTCTTACATCACCTCTCAATCTGGCACCATCCAAGTTCATTTTCAGCATACAACAAACTGGTATGGTTGAATATTAAACTTCTAAAATAAGGGGTTTGCAATGGAAACACCAAGAGATCATTAGTATGAGGGACTAATTTCACTGGCAAAGGATCAGGCATAATAATGCACGCAGCTCTCCTACATGAATGCACCTCTCTCTCCTTACTTGCAATGTTGCTTATGGCTGTGCTGAGGTTAACAGTGGTTTTGAGATATGGAAAAGCCTCTACTAAGGCTTGGTTTACACTTAAAACTTTTGCTGGTTATGTCAGTCAGAAGTGTGGAAAAATATCACACCCTTAACTGACATAGCTATGCCAGCAAAACCCTAGTGTAGATGCAATTATACTGGCAAAAAAAGTCCTTTTGCCAGTATAAGCTGTCTCTCCAGGGATGTGGATGGTGGAGTTTGCTGGTATAGCTCTGCTGGTATATCTATACTTGCAAACCCTTTTCAGTGACAGCGACAAGGCTGAAGATGAGTTCATCAATAATTTACCTGTGACACAATTCGATAGCTGCACTCATGTCTCCAGACAGAAGACTAGTGCACTACCCCACTGTATCACCTAGCCCCAGGAGTGTTATACACCTGGGTAGTAAATTAAACACTTGTGTTAAACACCTTACTTTATACACAACATTCAGCTTCCAACTCTGTCATCGTGGATAATGCAGAACTTCATTAAATAATTCTATATGGCAAAGACAGAGACAAAATGCAAACATTTACGTATTTTTAAAGTCCTAGAGCTCTCTAATTCACCCAATGATGCAAATTGGATTTAGAAAAACTGCTCTCGTTAATAAAAAGTAAAGTTAACCAGTGTTTGTTCCCCCCTACTTGCCAAACGGATGATAACAAATAAGACTGGGATTCTTCTTTTTTATAACGACTTGTACTTTCTATTTTAGTCTCCATTGTGCAAACAAAAAGGAGACAAAAGGAAAAATTGCTTTGTTTGTTGTTTTTAAAAGAAAAGTGTACCTAATCTATTGCACAGAAGTGGCATTAAAAAAAAAAATTCCCCTCCCAGAGTTCTGGCATTTTAAGACATGATCTTGGAAGATGCTGAAAGCCCCCAGCTCCAATTGAAATCAAGTTGAAGGTGCCCAGAATCTCATCGGAGGGGCACAGCTCCTGTAGGACTAAGCCCTTAAATAATAATTTTTTTCACAACTTGTGGGTTAAAAAAATATGCGTGCACCCAAGAAATAAAAAGTGAAAAGGATGCAATAGGCAACAGTTTATTAGTAAAAAAAAAAAAAAAAAATTTAAAAAAATTTAATAAAAAATAAAAAAAAAAAAAAAAAAAAATCCTTTAAAATTTTACTACGTCTTAAAGATTAAGGAAAAAATAATACTATTAATATATATATACACACATACAGTATATATGTATATACACATATATTGTACCATTAAAATTACATGCTTTTCAGAACAGAATGGGTCATGTTCCCTCACATCAATTTTAAATTTCTGATTGCAATAAACCATGCTTCCTTTTTTTTAAATCTTCAAGTACAGGAAATAAGCAAACCAGGATCTAAAAGTGGAAAACTATTTGTTATGCACAAATGACAACTGACAGCTATAACATTATTATTCTGCAGTACTGAACATTTTATGCGTGTCTTGGTGAATTCTACAACTCTGAAGTTTTACCTGAGATGTGTGGACATAATGAAGCGTGACAGTAGGCTTAACAGATTTTTTCACATTATGGTTCGATTGAAATCAAAGCTGATTGAGTATTATGCATTTGTACACATAGTATCAACACGAGAACTCTTTGTAAAATAATGAAATTTACCAAATGTCTTAAAGCTGCAAGTGAAACAAAAAAGGCAAGCACCACTTGCAATGATCAGCATGCAGACAGTGAAACAGAGGTAGCATTTTCTTATTACTTCAGCAGAATCACTCAATTCAAACACACTCTCTTCTGCAAAAGGCACTCACTTTTTTTCATTTATAAATAATATGGTGTTAAATTCCAGCAAGTTGACCATAAATGTTGTTTTTCCCCTACAAATGTAAAAAAGTTAAGCAAAGAATATGATGAAAAGACAAAACAGGGCATCAGGAACACATTTTGAATGAATGTGCAACTTTTTTTCCTTTTAGGAAAACTGAATTTCTTTAAAAAAACATTATAGTACATCACCCAAAAGTTAGACTTCCCACTTAAAATGGCAATATTAAGCAGCACATTGTATATCAGAATAGAATTGTAAAACACCAGAATTACACCAGCCTTTTAATAGCTAAAATAAAAAGCAACAGTTCACAGTTAAAAGTAGAAAGATTATTCACATAAAAGGTGGTGATAGGGAAGGATAAAGACCCTTCGATATAGAAGCTTATAAATTAGTATGTCTAGAACCTCATATTGTACCTTTTACACTTTCTGCAGTTTGAAAAGATACTGTCCATGCAAAACTTCTGTTCTTACCGTGACACTACTGAGCTAATTGAATTATAAGATGTCCCACTGTTACAACTTGAAGCATAGGCCTCTTGGCCATTAGCATCTAAGTTCATTTTGAATACAGACGATGCCTTTAATAAAAAGTCTGCTGCATCTCTGCGGCCTAATTCCCTCAGTTTAGACATTAGGATACCTACAGTGCTCTCAGGGACATTACTCCATTCCTGCAAAAGGGCATGGACTGGGCTTGGGAGAAAATCATTTTGAGTTCCATTGTTTGTATTATATTTTGCAACAAGATCAGGAAGGCCCAGGTTCATAGCCAGAAGGCACCAGTCCTTTCCCATAGGATCAGGTGGATCCAAAAGTCGACTAAGTTTCCTCCTTGTAAGAAGATTCAAATCTGAAGCATGAATATCCATTCCTAGACCTCCCTGTGAGTAGATGTCCAGACATCCAAAGCACAATATACTGCTGAAGCTTTCTTTATAACCACCCATGGTATTAGTCAATGATGTCTCCTTTTGGCTTTGTGCCCGGAAGAAGTCTCTAGGCTGGTAGACCATTACTGGTTCATGATGTTCCCTCAGCTGCTGAGGACTAAGATAATGTTTCACAGTCAGCAGGCCTGGTAATGTTGTGGCCATTAAGTTATCAATGGTGCTACAAACAGAATCCAGAAGCAAGCAGCACTTGATCTTCTCTGTTTCCAGTCCTCTAACTTGAACCTCAATACCCTGACCATGGTTGACCAGCAACACTAAAAGCTCAGCCCCGCGATTCACAATCTTTGATCCATTTACCCAGAGACGTATATCTGCATCTCCCTCTGCATTCTGTTGGTGAATCCACCGACACAGATTCACTTGAACTTTATGGAAAATTCCACAAGGGAATGGGGTAAGGTGTTCCACAGGAACAATTCTAACACCACCATAAATCAGAACCTCATCCTCCTCATCTGTCCAAGACCTGTGAAGATTGTCAGTCTTGATCAGCGCTGGAATATCCACCATTGCTCCACTGCTAAGATCTCTAGCACAGATATCCATGGCATCCAAAATCTGTATCAGTTCTTCCACATCACTGTCTGATACCAGGCGCTGGATGTCCTCTATGGTATACCGACCTCTGTAATGATGTAGGGCTTTGGGATTCTCCACTGACAGGATTTTCCCCAGGACATTAGAACAGAGCCAGCGAGGATCCAGGAGCACAACATCTTGGACAGTTTCACTCTGCATGATGTTTATCTGTTCAGAAAGAGGAAAATTACAAATTATATCTTGTGAAGTACAAGTCGACAGTAGAGCTGCTCTTATGGCTTGCTGACTTACCAGTCACACCATTGATTCACGACTGTAGCAAGATAATAGTGCATTTCCTTCCTCTCATATTCCTAAAACAAAATCAGGATCCAGCTCTTGACTTGTTTTATTGACAAAGTCATCAGAGCACATGGCTCACTGAGATTTTTTTCAAACTATTTTAGCAGAAATCTTCTGCACTTCCAACAATTTTCAATGGACATAGAAAATATTCTGGCCTAAAATGCAGTTTTTCCTCATTTGCCCTGATAGCAGCTGAAAAAGGAACAGCATTTTTGGCACGGTTTCAGAGCTTCTCACATTTAACTCTTAAGCCACCAGATATGTAAGAGCCAGGATGTCACATTCAAAGTTCATACCTGCATCTATCTGCATTACTCATTTGATTACACAGAATTTAATGTTGGTAGAAAACAAAAATCTAGCCACAGAGAATAGAAATATAAGATAGGAGGTATAGCTGAAATTAATAGGAAATGGCATCACAAGCCTCCTTAATAGGTATGCAACTTTGAAAAATTGAATGCTTTGCCATATAACTACTGTGACAGACCCAGACCAGTGGGGTACAGGAGTCTGGTCACTGGATGAGTAGTTTTCTGTTCCCTGAGAGACCAGAGCAGGGGCTGCACTAGAGTAATCAGGAACCTGCTAGAACCAGTTAAGGCAGGCAGGCTAATTAGGACACCTGGAGCCAATTAAGAAGAAGCTGCTAGAATCAATTAAGGCAGGCTAATCAGGGCACCTGGGTTTTAAAAAGGAGCTCGGTTCAGTTTGTGGTGCGAGTGTGAGGAGCTGGGAGCAAGAGGCGCAAGGAGCTGAGAGGGTGAGGGTGTGCTGCTGGAGGACTGAGGAGCACAAGCGTTATCAGACACCAGGAGGAAGGTCCTGTGGTGAGACTAAGGAAGGTGTCTGGAGGAGGCCATGGGGAAGTAGCCCAGGGAGTTGTAGCTGTCATGCAGCTGTTACAGGAGGCACTATAGACAGCTGCAGTCCACAGGGCCCTGGGCTGGAACCCAGAGTAGAGGGCGGGCCCGGGTTCCCCCCAAACCTCCCAATTGACCTGGACTGTGGGTTCTTCTAGAGGGGAAGGTCTCTGGGCTGTTCCCCAACCCACATGGTGAATCTCTGAGGCAAGAAAAATCCGCCAATAAGCGCAGGACCCACCAAGATAGAGGAGGAACTTTGTCACACTACATATAATAATGTAGCTACAGCAAAGTAAGCTTATGAGTAATTGTTTTAGCTATTATCTCATTTGAAGGTCAGCTTTTTATTTCATCCCTTTTCTGAATATTTATTTTATTTGCTTTTATCATGAGTATAGTCTACCATAGAACTCTTCCTCTTTTAAAGAAAGAGATGTCCAATGAAACAAACACATAGGAGCCATAAGACAAAAGATAACTGAAGTCTGTATGGGTTGATTTGCACTGAGTATGTTGTCTTGGAATGGGAAGTTGAGGAAAGAATAATTAAGGAATTTTGCTGAGAACACAGCAAGATTCTGTCAAAACAGAACATTCTGAACTACCTGGAAATCTCAGGTTTCACATTTTTGAGCATCATTTTTCTGGTGCTTAATTCATTTAAATAAACAATAATGTGAGCTAGAAATAACCTGCTGATTCAGATTTCTAATTTTAAAAACAAAATCTGATACCAGGATGTTGCAGTCAGTGCTTCACTACGCTGCTGTGAAAGCTGGTCCAACACTTATTACAACCCCCTTTTATCCTAGGAGTATCTGTCTGTACACATTTGGCATAGATGGCTTCAGAGAATGCTTTTCTTTAACCAAATCTGAAAACAATTTATTCAGCCATTTTAACTCACATTTCAGATTGAAGTTGCATTCTGGCTGAACAACTAAGGGCTTGTCCACATAAGGAAGTTATTCCAGAATTAGATATGGTGTGAATTCAAACTGCAATAGCTATTCTGCAATAGCTCCCTTTGCGGACACACTTATTCCATGATAAGAGTGCCTTTTTCTGATTTTGCTGAATCGCTTTGGCTTTCTAGACTGGGTGTGCTGGTTAAATTTTTTTCCCCCTCCTCCACAAGATTTCCTTTCATGCTCCACCCACCAATTCCTCCAAGAAGCTTGATGCATTTTCCATTCAGCATCCCTATACTGGAAACCACTCACAGATCATGCACTCTAGCTGGTTAGGATTTTCTTCATTTTTTCACTGAATTAAAGAAAAAAAGTAATTAAAAAGGTGCAGAGAATACACTTTGCTCCAGATGGGTGAAACTCAATTGGATACTGTGTAGAATCAACAATCTGAGTTTGTTTATGTTAAAGACAGAATGTAAGTAAAGTCACTACATAGTTATGCAGTTTGAATAAAAATTACTTACTTCTCCTATGCTGTGCAACTGCTGGGCTATATGCCGTAGATCATCTTCACTTGCTAATGGATTAAGCTGATCCTGTACGTCATATACAAACTGCTGCAATGACATCAGCTGGTTGGGTCCATTAATTTTTCTCCAAGAAGGGAGGGTGGAGATCATTTTCTCACAAAGGTGAGTCATAGGTGGACAAATCTAACAAAAGTACAATGGACGTCAATTTGTAGTTCTACTTCTACTATGCTGATAAAAACTGAATTAAATTGTTTAGAAAAAGAGCTACTGCCAAAGACAGCTGCAGAATTTGCCACAGAATCCACCCTGAATGAAAAATTGTACTCCAGAATCTAAATGTTCATTTAAATACCAATTTCTAGCCACCATGATTACAAAGACAATCTTAATGTGAAGCAACTAAATGCTTTCTTGCCTAATCTGCGCACAACCTGAAACAATGGTTTTGAGTGGTATCAACTGCCCCATTCACCTGGGGATTAACTGTGAAACCAAAAAATAGTTTAAAATATCAACAGTTAATTATTTCACTGCTGATCTTTTTAGCAGAAACATACCACTAAGGAGTTTATCATGAAATCCCAAACCACCTCCCATGTGCTAGAAGAACTAATAGCTCCTCATCCCCACAACTTCTACAATGCAGTTGTGTGTTGTAAGTACAAAAAACGGTAGTTAATTGAAAACGAAGACTGGGGCAAGCATCAAATAGATTGAATTTAATATCAAAATAAATAACACCCATGCTACAATGCCGACTGTATTTTACAGGTTCATATTTAATTAATAATAAAACTCATTTTTTAAATGCAAATTAAGTGGTTGGGGAATTACAAGCCTGTTGTATCAGAATGCCACTGAAACTAAGACCATGTCTACATTACAGAGATTATAAACAGCACAGATACGGTGCCATAGCTATGCCAGCATAACCCTGGAGTGTAGATGCAGCCTTCACCAACAGAAGAGGTTTTCCATCACTGGAACACCAACGTCCCCCAGCATTATTTTGTCAACCTAGCTGTGTCTACCCAAAGAGCTAGGTTGGCACAGCTATAGCGCTCAGGGTTGTGGAGTTTTCATATCCCTGAGTGCTGTAGTTATGTGGACCTAAATTTTAAGCGCAGATCAGGCCTAAGGGAACACTGCTGTAGAATTTAGGTCAGTTTACCACTGGGTACGTGATCCCTTGGCTACTGCCCCTTTACCTAGCTAGAAACTGCGAATATATTTTTTAGAGTATGACTCTAGGAAAATTATCAATATATATCTGATTAACATATTTCTGAAGTTACATTTCCACTGGTTCAGATAACAGTTAGTTCTGCCCTGGTGTTCTTTATGTAACACACAATCTACTTGCATAGCAAAATATTGGAAGTGTCCATAACATTATTCTGTAATTTATTTTAAGAGAAATGGAGTTACTGAAGTCATAAAGCTGGGTCAATTATGAACTGAAATCACAGCTTTAAACTGAAAGTCACAACTATTTTCTTCCATTTTATCCCCCCCTCCCCCCCCAAAAAAAGCACCAATACAGTCTCAGATTCACTGATTGACCATTTTAAATGTGGGAGGTGGTTTATGGTAGATCATCCTCTGTCTCCTATGACTCCTCTCTGGGTGGTTTTGTTGGCCCATTATCATAAAAATTTGTGCAGCTGTCCCAGCTATGATATATCACACTCAATAACGTATCAAAGTCACTAAAAATCATCAGTCATTATCTGAGAAAATGTACAGCTTACTGCTTCCTGGTTCACTACTTGGAATTGGTGGGTCAGGGTCTTTTGGAGCCCATGGAACACACATTAGTAGCAGCGTGAGCTGAGAATCCATATCTATACTGGGGATACTTAGGATTATTTTCCCTTTGGTTAAACTGAACTGGTGCTAACACTACTGGGAATCTGGTAACTGGACCTTTTTTCATCACCATGTCTGTTAAACCTGCTGTACAATGCAAATCTAACTGACGCACTGGTAAAATAGGTCCAGCCTCCAGAGACTTGCCTACTCTAGAGTTCCTACTAAAGCTAACACTAATTCAACTGAATTGGTGTTAGCAACAATGGGAATTCTTTAGCAAAATCCTCTGTGTAGACAAAGACCAACTTATTTCAGGGACAAGAGGCTGCAAAACTGTTTTGTAATTGAATTGTAAGCTTTAAAGACATTATCAAATAAAAAGCCTGGCACTGAGCTGTTAGGACTGAGGTAATGTAAAGACTGTGAAGCATATCAGAAACCTGTGGTTAATATAGAAATGTAACCATTAAAAAGCCAGTAACTCAGAGGGTTAAAGAACTTTAATGATTATAATAAGCCCCTGTGCTACTCAATGCAGGATTGAGTCCAAAGTACCTTTTAAAGCCACACATAAATTAAAATATTTAAAAAACAAAATATCCTTCCAACTTACAAACCCCACCTCTGATCATAAAAAACAAAGACATAATTTACTCTCTGCTAATTATATTGCTTGGTGACTTTCTGCATTTCTCTCACACTGGACAATAAGAATAGAATCAATAATTTCTAGCCAATCAGATTGTCTGATTCACATGCACTGATATGACACTGCAATGTTTGGGTTGCAACACAACAGGGGCATGTTTTAAAAAAAGAAAAAGCTTTTCCATTGGAATTTAAAAAAAATCATGGATATAGATTTTATAAAAACTGATTTTTACAGTTTTCAGCCGAGTTTGACCTAACAGTGTCCCTTTGAAGACAGGAAAAAATGCTTTCTTCTTATTTCCTTCAAACCCGAGTGTCTCTAGGCTCATTATCAACTCAAAGTGCCTCTGAGTTAGCCACCAGAAAGTGTTCAAATAAAGAAACTGCACCTATTCTTCCTGAACTCCATGATGTATGTGCCCAGCCTCTGACGCCCAAGAAGCAAGAGGCTTGTAATAACTTCCCCATGCAAGTTTCCTTCAAAACCAGAATTTCACATGGAGTTAGCCCAGCCTAGGCCTTCAGTGAACTACTCACAGAAGTGATCTGGCTTCTTAATTCTTGTAGGTGATTTCGAAGAAGCTTCATATCTTTAGAGCCAGATGCTCCGGCATCCAAAACAAATAACTTGTCCAAAATTTGAAGATCATTTCCAAACCTAAGAGAAACAGACAGTACTTATTTATTAATTTCTAGTCTCAAACCAAATTTTATTTTAATTTACCCAACTGTAAATTTGTTTTAAATTGTGTAACAATTTTTTCTTTCGCTTTAAGGGAATCATGACAAATGGAATGAACAAGAATAGTAAAAAGTTAAATACTGAATATGATGCACAATACTAAAAGCAAAACATAGTATATTAGTAACTAATATTTTATTCAAGATAAAAAGAATTGTTGAAAGTAAAAGTTACTCTTTCATGTAAGCACTGGAAAAGAGGCCTTCACATATATTATATAAAGGGAATTACAGCAGAGTCAAGTAGACATACTGGCTATATGTTCTGCTATAAAAGTTACAGCAATTATTTGTTTTTAATGAGTTCAGCTCACTTGGTGGTTCTTATCTGAAATACTTCCACATTTATATTTGCTTTTACAAGCATAGCAATGAGATATATTTATTGACAGAAACTCCAAGGATTATACACAGGTATTTATTGTTCAATTTCAGTAGATCAGGATATTCCACTAACACAGTAATACTAGAAATCTGGGAGATATAGTTCTAGACTGTTTCCTTACATCCTCTTCCTAACATACCCTACTCAGAAGACCTGAATGGTTCCCCATACCATGGTATTGCTGTGAATTGTGTATAGTTTGTCTTGGAAGACTAGTCTGTGAAAATAGCTAATTCTGAAAACCAGCGCTATTCTCTCTGCAATTCATAGTGGTTGGCATTAGGACTTTCCAACATCTAGAGAGACTTGTTGGTTCATTTTCTTTTTCATTCATATTCCCATGCAGCTCTTTAGAAAATTGTATATACAATACATCTGTGTGATTTATTTTTGTATACTAGATATCTTAATCATAATTTAAAGGATGAAACTCCATTGTGTCTGGGTATTGGAGCATTGATAAATAAAGTCACCTACAATACTTAAACATAAAGGTGTGAGACAACCTACTCATTTTAAAACCATCAAGTGTTTTCTATTTTTGCACAAAACTATACTGCAAGACCATTTTCAATATAAAGCAGCAACCAAAGCAAAGTACTGGATTTTCTTTGCTCCCACACAGATCAATGAATGTTATTTTGTAAATAATATTGAACACCTCAAATCAAGCACCAGCTTTGGCATTTCCACATTTTAATACTGTATTTAAATTTAAAAAAAATGCATTGCTCCTCTTCTCACCTGTTTCTGATTTCTTTCAGCAATGACATGTCTTTGTCATATCCAAATTCTCCTCCAACAGGGCGAGGAAGGTTCACAATGTCAGCATGGGTGGCCACCAGGACAACATGCAATGGATTTTTCAGCCTTCCACCAAATGCTTCATGAGAAAGAAAAATACACACCCAGAGTACAACAATTTCAGGAAAAGTGCTCTTACTGTACCATGAGGCAGAGATGAATTTTATGTTCCTGACATACTGGTCGCTTGTGTGAGTACACTTGCCAGCTTAAAAAAACAATCTACACACTTGTGTAATTTAAGGACTGTTTGGTTGATGTGATTTTGTTTATAGCCCATAAATATGGATGGCTTGCCCTTTCAAATAATGTTAAAAATACTAATACTATATGGCTTTATTTCTTTTCTTTTAACTTGATAACTATCACCAACAACACTAACAAATCAGCTACAAACTATTAAACCATTTTGGGAATGACAACTACTTGCAAAGATTCTTGGTAATTCTTTGGATCCTTTAGTACTACAGGATGCGAGTTAGATGATTGTAAGCAGAACACAAATGATCTACAACATTCATACTGTGGTATGAATGCAATTGTACAGTACTTACACAAACAATGAACTCTCATTTAGGTGAGAGTTAAGAAGGAAAGCCTGGGAGATACCATGAAAAGAATGAGAAAAAGAGAAAGATACAAATGGCATATGAATGAGGTGATAGTACATAACACACATTTATACAGCCTGTTCTCTAATATACTATCCAGAAAACTTGGTCAAGTTTTACAAAATGTGTCATATTCTGTGGTCTTTACCTCATCCTGGCAAAGCCTCAATTAACTTCAACAGTTTTGCCTGAGTGAAGACTGAATAAAGTCTCCAGCATTTGATCCATTATGCTTAAGCCACACAAAAATACCCTTTTATATGTCTAGTGATTCAAAATCAGTGTTCTGTGGCCTGTGAAGCAGTGTACTATAATGCAGCCGGCACTCTGTTTTCTGGCTTTTTATGAAGGACCTAGTGGAATTGGCTAGGAAACTATTCCAAAGCTTTAAGATTTCTGTTAATATACTTTGTTAGGATAGTATACTAATACACTTTGTTAGGATAGTTGAAGGATTTCTTATAAACTATTAGCAGCAAGGTCAAGTTGAACAACTTTATTAGTTACTTTACTATAGTTGAACTGACATAACTATTTAAATATTGCTAATCATTTTGCAAGAAGAACTGACAAAGTTTAGTTCTATATTTGTCTGAATCAAATTTGGATTCTAGCAACTGCAGAAATATTAAATAAAATAACTTAAAGCTTCAGTATTAATTTTTGGCAAACTCCTGAGTCATTATCTTCTCTGTTATACAACTACTTGCATACCAGCTGGATCTGGACATGCCTTATTTTTAACTTTTTTTTTTTTTAAACTCAAAATAAAACTGAAAGGCATGTGTGTGTCTGAACTGGAGGAAGTCAAACTAACAGACCTGTACTGAGTTCATAAATAAGGAATATAGAATATCACCTGGGCTCTGATATAATGCATTTAATATTAGCCAAAATATCAGTAGGACACAGGGAACATTCAGCTCTAAATAAATATTTTGATATGCCTGCCAGGTGATTACACAGTGATTTTATCACTTCATGGGTTTTCTTTTTCCATACATGTCTAATCGTATCCACTGGCTTGAACAGAGTTTTGGTTGATGAAGCCAAGACAGATCCCTGAGCTTGGATCTTCCATCAAACTGTCAGGGGGCGTGGATGAATGCTCCACTGCAATAAAAGCTAAATAAATTGGTATAAACCAAGAATAGGTGACCTTAATCTTTTTTAAAAATATAGTGATTAAATAAATTGGTTTGACTTGCAAGCAATTCCAAACAGCATAACCAGCTAGAGTATTAAACCAGAGATCTCATTTAAAAACTGAACAAAGTCTTAGCAGATGTCAAGCAAAATTCACTACAAATATTGGGCTCCATCCACACCAAGACTTAAAAGGAGTTAAACTCATTTAAAGTCTAAATATAGTTCCAGCTAAACAGATCTGAGCAGCACATGCAGAAAGTCAGCAGAGTTTTAAAACACAATTCTAACATGATTTAGACCCATCCACACTGGCCAACCCAGCTAGTGCTGGAAACCAATTTAGCTGGGGTTGGGTTTAAACAGAATTTAAGCAATGTTTCCAAACTTGGTTTAAAGACCCAGTGTACTTGGAGCCTGTATGTAGACAGACAGTACACAAGAATGTCAAAGTAGTTCTTTGATATGAAAACTTCAATTTAAGTGGTTAGGGAGAAATTCAGGAAGCACGCAAGGCTCTCCACACTATTTAAGCACAACCTAAACAATTTTAGGTAGGGTTAAGTGCCTATGGCCCTATTTAGACCCTCTACTGTGAGGGAGAAGTTCACCTCGGTACTGAACTTTGTTTAAAGTTGATTTCAATAAGATGCAGGACAATGAACACACAACAGGACTCAACAAAGTTACAGGGAAACACAAAGTTTTTTCTTTCCTCCACAGAAGGCATCTAGACACATAGCATGGCATACCTATGGGTTCCTCAACTGGGACCAGGGATTTCAGGAAATTAAGCCAAAAGGTCACTTGGTTTAACTGGATTTCATAAGGTTCTTCAAGACTGAAAAGCACGATATGAATTGCGGTGGGATCATTTGCAGCAAAATAATCATAACAGCAGAAATATACAGGATTCCCAGAAAATTCCCACACGCTGAAATCACCAATTCCTGTAAAAGGGGACAAAGTGATAAACAGGTCAAACTTCTTTAAAGAGCTCTGTTCTTTTAATATTGGAGGCAAAGTTTTTCCAGGGCTGACATCTGGAAACCAAATGTAAGTGTCCAGGAGTCATAGACACCGTGCATTACAGATTAAATGAGCCCTGGCTTTGTACAGAAATGATGGATATTAAATCCTTCAGAAAACAAAACAGAGCACTAGACAAGATTACAGAAATAACAGCTGCCATTCCTTCTCTTGCCCCTGAAAATGCAACTAAACATTTCTCCAATTACTTCTTTGTGATGTATGGTATCTGGTGTCAAAAACATAAGATACAAGGTTATTCAGAAAACAGTCCATTTTGGTTTATAAAATTGAAACTACTGCCAAATCAGAGTGGGCTTTAAGAATCACCTCTTACTCCTAATTACCACTTAAGAACACTAGCCATGGTGTGCTGTTTTCTGTCATCTATTTTTGCTGTAGATGAAAGATGTGTTAGCTTCTCACAGTCTCTCTCTTAATCTGGCTGAAAGCATATGCACTTGTACCATCTTTACTTAGTAATGATTTTATAAAGTAATAAAATGATTTTATAAATACTCTAGAAAAAATAAAAAATTTGAAGCATCAACTATGCTATGAACCTTTACAATGGAATAGTTTCTACTGACAATCTGCAGTATAGCTCTACTACATTTTAGAAACTAAATCTGTTACATGATTGTGCTGAAAGAGAATAACTGCACTAATAAGTGTTGATTATGTGTCAAGTTGCTCATCACACATGGCAAATGTTTTACAGTATGTTGCATTTATAAATATATTCCCCGACCCAAGATTAAAAGCTTAAGCCCCATTTGACCCTGGAACAATTGATATGGTCTTTGTGGCAAGGACCAGGTCTAATGACTATGCCCCCACAAAGCACCATGCACACTTATGATGACATACAAGTAATAAAGGTTCACTCCTGGTCCAAGACCCTTTGTGACGAGTGGTTTAAAAAAAAAAAAAAAAAAGTACCTATAAATGATACACAAACCAGTCAATGTATGTGGTGCCTTTATAATGTATTTAACTTCACAGGGCTTTATGTAGGTTTAATCTCTGTTTTAAAAAGATACGCACATTAAACTAGTGGATGTGTTCAGGGTAATGCTTAAAGTAGATTTCAAATTCAAATATTTAAAACAAGTAAAGCCAATGTCAGTCACATAGAATTAATACACATTAATTCAATTAATTCATTACCATTCAAGTAGGCATTTTGAATGTCAATGGCCTTCGTAGACTGGTCATCTGCAGAGCAGTGAGAATGGTGAGATGGTGAAACGAATACTTCTAGCACCCCTTTGGTAAGGCCTGGCTCAAACATCATGCTTCGACTTCTCACGCTAACATTTTCACAACCAGGGTAAAGATTTGTAATGCTCACTGAAACTGAGTCATGAAAAAGAATATTACAAACCACGAAGAGTTTATAAACAGATCATTTCAAAATAATGTGCTGGGCATAAAATTTGATTTAAAAAGATCTGTTCTTCAAACAGAGGTACCCAGGTAGCTGTGAACATTATTTGTGCCCAAGATTCAGAACCAGAAAATACCTCTCACTAGAGCTGATTCGGTACCTTAGAATACCCTGTCTTGGCAAAATGGCTTTCTGAGAGATTTAATTATGCATAATAGGCTTTAAAAGAAGGGGATGAGAGAGGCAGAGAGAGGAGAGAAAAGGAAGAGGAAGATACTGAGAACCATGGAAGTGTAAGAAAGCAAGCACACAAAGAGGTGGAAATAAGGAAGACAGAAAGGAAGAGAACAGAGGTAAAGTATAATGTGTCTGATTAACATTGTTCAACAGACCTTCTCCAGTTTCTCTCTGTGCTGAGATTTCCCCCCAAGTTAGAGACATGTTCAGGTTTTCAATAACTGTTAGACAATTTCTAATGTGCTTGGTCTCAAGAATACCCACAGGTTGGGCAGGTATTTTAGTTTCTATATTACCCAATGATAAAGTAATGATGTGCTAGAGGTAAGGTTTAATGGTGTGAAAGGGCAAATTCTAGGTTCCCCTTATAGCACTGTTAGCCCCTAAAAGACACACAGGTGGGGTCAAAATAATGGAAGTGACAGAACACAGTTTGTGAAAATGAGGGTTCATCTGTTAGGGCTTGTCTATACACAAAAGTTGTATTGCTTTAATTTGGCATTATTAAAGCACTACAACTCCCTCATGTGGACATATTTATAGCTGTATAAAGGTGCTTTATATTGGTATAGCTATTCCTGTACAGCTATAAGCTATACCTGTATAACTTTATACTGATATAAAACGGCATCTACAGTGGGGATTGTATGGCCTAACTATTTTGATAAAAAAAAAAATATCACCCCCCCTCCCCTAGTTATAGGGATACAAAATCTCTGTGTAAAGCAAGTTAGATTCTGAAAGATCAGAAAGAGAAAGACAATCACACAGTAGTCTCTATTATCAGCCATCCCCCTCTATCAGACAAATCAAAGAATTCTTCATCCCTTCACCAGATATTGAAGTTACCATTATGATATACATATTTTAATATGGAAACAAGTTGTGTGTGTGAGACAACTCAGCAGTATAAGTATCACTATACATTTGTCACTTATATATAGTTTTTCAGAGTGTTCATGTAAATACTTGATAAACACAAGCTTTTAATGAGTTATATAACAAACACATAATCAGATGCACATTATAGTGTTAAACTACTTTAAGCATCCATCAGTTCATGAGGCTTTTTTCCTACCTCAAATATTAGCAGTAACAACAATGTACATTTATTTAATACTGTTCAACCAAAAAAACCCCAGGACTCTAAAAGTGCTTAAAAGACTGAGCATAGATTAAAATGAAACAATGTTAGCACAAATTATTTTTTGTGTATAAAGTCAGGAAATTCATATTTATTTTTTTTACAGTAATTATAAGCTTACTTCTTTTTGCATACAGTATTATGTATTGCTATAAGTGGTGCTCATCTGATGCCTTATACAGCATGTGCGTGTGTGTATATCACACACACACACACACACACACACACACACACACACACTGTATTAGGCATCAAATGAGCAGCACTTAATGTAATTAATGCTAAAAGTGACCATAATGTAATTAAATTGAACATTCTTGTAGAAGGGAAAACCACAGTAGCATTTAACTTCAAAAAGTGGAACTACATAAAAATTAGGAAGCTGATTACATGGAAATTAAAAGGAATAGTCACAATAGTGAAATGCCTGCAAGCTGCATGGAAACTATTTAAAAACACCATAATATAGACAAACTAAATGTATACCCCAAATAAAAAAAAATCCCTGTAAGACAACCAAAAAGCCACCATGGCTAAACAGCAAAGTAAAAGAGGTGATTAGAAGCAAAAAGACATCCTTCAAAATCTGGAAGTCAAATCCTACTGAGGAAAATTGAAAGGAGCATAAACTCTGGCAAATCGAGTATAATTACGTAAACCAAAAAAGAATTTGAAGAGCAACTAGCAAAAGATACTATAAAAAACTAAAGCAAAAATGTTTTAAAATACATCGGAAGCAGAAAGCCTGTCAAACAATCAGTGGGGCCACTAGATGATTGAGGTGCTAAAGGAGCACACAAGGACAATAAGGCCATTGCAGAAAAGCTAAATGAATTCTTTGCATTGGTCTTCACTGCAGAGGAGGTGAGGGAGATTCCAAAACCTGAGCCATTCTTTTTAGGTGACAAATCTGAGTAACTGTCCCAGATTGAGATATCAATAGAGGAGGTTTTGGAACAAATTGATAAATTAAACAATAATAAGTCACCAGGACCAGATGGTATTCACCCAAGAGTTCTGAAGGAACTCACACTTGAAATTGCAGAACTACTATCTGTGGTATGTAACCTATCACTTAAATCAGCCTCAGTACCATATGACTAAAGGGTAGCTAATGTAACACCCTATTTTTAAAAAAACAGCTCCAGAGGCAAACCTGGCAATTACATACCAGTAAGCCTAATTTTAGTACCAGGCAAACCGGTTGAAATTATAGTAAAGAACAGAATTATCAGACACATGGATGAACAGGATGTTTCGGAAGTATCAGTATAGCTTTTGTAAAGGGAAATCTACTAGAATTCTTTGAGGGGGTCAACAAGCATATGGACAAGGGTGATCCATTTGATACAATGTACTTGGACTTTCAGAGAGCCTTTGACAAAGTCCCACACCAAGGCTGAAAAGTAAGCAGTCATGGCATAAGAGGGAAGGTATCTCATGGATCAGTAACTGCTTAAAAGATAGGAAACAAAAGGTAGGACTAAATGGTCAGTTTTCACAATGGAGGAAGATAAATAGTGCACCCCTCCCCCACGATTTGTACTGGGACCTGTGCTGTTCAACATATTCATAAATTATCTGGAAAAGGTGGTGAACAGTGAGATGGCAAAGTTTGAAGATAGTTAAGTCCAAAGCTGACTGTAAAGAGTTACAAAGGGATCTCACAAAACTGGGTGAGTGGGCAACAAAATGGTAAATGAAATTCAGTATTGATAAGTGAAAAGTAATGTACTTTGGAAAACATAATCCCAACTATACATACAAAAATGATGGGATCTAAATGAATTGTCATCACTCAAGAAAGATTTTGGACTCACTGTGTATCAGTCTCTGAAAACATCCACTCAGGGTGCAGTGGCAGTCAAACCCCCCGCCCCAAACCCCACATTGCTAACAGACTGTTAGGAACCATTAGGGAAGGGATAGATGATAAACCCAAAAATATCATAATGCCACTACATTAATCCATGGTATGGCCACCTCTTAAATACTGCATGCAGTTCTGCTTGTCCCATTTCAAAAAGATAGATTAGAATTGGAAAAAGTACAGAGAAGGGCAACAAAAATGATTGGGGTATGGAAGAGTTTCCATATGAGGCGAGATTAAAAAGACTGGGACTGTTTAGCTTATAAAAGAGATGACTAAGGGTCTATAAAATCATGAATGGTGTGGGGGAAGTGTTACTCACCACTTCACATAACACAAGAACTCGGGGTCAACCCAATGAAATTAATATGCTGGTTTAAAACAAACATAAGGAAGTGCTTCTTCATGTAACACACAGTCAACCTGTGGAACTTGTCGTCAGGGGACGCTGTGAAGGCCAAAAGCAGAACTGGGTTCAAAAAAGAATTCGATAAGTTCATGTAGGATAGGACCAGCAACGGCTATTAGCTAAAATGGTAATGGATGGAACCCCATGCGCTGTCTGCCTCTGACTGCCGGAAGCTGGGACTGGACGAGAGGGGATGGATCACTCGATAATAGCCCTATTCCGTTCTTTTCCTCTGAAGCACCTGGCACTGTCCACTGTCAGAAGACAGAATACTAGGCTAGATGGACTACTGGTCTGACCAAGAAAGGTCATTCTTAAGTTTTTAATTAAGGCAATACTGTGTACATAATACTGTATATAAAATGAAGCAATTTCTTCCAGAACTGGGGTAGTTAAAAAAAAAAAAAAAAGTAAAAAGATTTTTCCTTACTTCATATGTTTACATGGGACTGAGTTTTTGTATGCAGTAGCCTGTGGTGATATGTTCAAAAAATCCTAGGCCCGTATCTCTCTTGTTCATATAACTGTGTCTGATCTTGAAAACCTATTCCCACTGGTTTCTAACATTTTTAAAAAAGTAAAGACAAAAAACCCCAACCCCGTTCTTCCTGTGCTAGCTCCAGTAGATACATGCTTGTATTTCTTGATACATAGTTTAATCTCCTTGTGCAAGGGCCTATAAATTGAGATTAATGGAACAGAGAATTTCTTATCTATTTCCGTTCCACTCTCATTAAGTAATTCCTGTGTAATATATGAAAGCCTCTTTCAGTGATTCATTGACCATTCATATATTATATCTTTGTGCCAGAAACCTTTTGGCCTGTTCTTTCACCAGAGTTCCTATCCTCAGAATAAATCGACTGAAGGTTGAGCAAAGATGAAAGCTGTTACTATATACCGGTACTTTTTCCTAACGTGTTCAGGTATTACCTAAAAATTATGATAAGTGATAAACACATACTTATTTATGATTACGCAATTAATTATGAACCAACTTAAAAACAAAGCTTATCTAATAGATAAAATAACACTTCTACAGGATCCTTTCATCCAAGAACCTCAAAAAGCTTAACCCCCAACAACCTCCCACACGCAATACCTCTTTGTTAGATGAAAGATAAACAGGGATGAATTCACTTATTACTTTAGTACAGCCACTTCTAGGGTAGAATGCAGCAGTTGTTGAATATCACACAAACAGTTTAGGACTGGAAGTAGATAGTATCATATTCTACTGAAAATGTTTGTTGGCCAGAGATGACCAATTACTTTTTGCCCAAAAAATAGAATTTGTTCAGGACACAGATTTAACACCTTTACATTTGCAAAAAAGTTCCAGAATACTTGTGACAAGTGGTCAGGTCCTCTACTGATGCAATAAAAGTTTCTCTGGCTAATCTTGTATCTTTCACACCCACTGTTTCATCCTCCTGCCCAGGCACCAACAATAAAAACCATTTCTCTGCTTTGATTTCCTAAGACCCATTCTCCTAATCTTTACTTTTAGAGATCAAGCCAACAGGGCTTCACATATAGTTATAAGCACTAAGATAGAAATAATTATTCTCTTACTTTAAATGCTATAAAACCAGAAGCCTTAAAGTGATACCTGATGGTTTGGTAGACAAGGGTGAAGGTGGGAATCTGGTTGAGTTTGTGGAGGAAAGCCTTGGTCTTCGTCTTCTAAAAAAGCTCCTTATTAGACCACACTTGAGAGATTCCACAAGAGTAGTTTTCCCAGATCCTGAGTGTCCAAACAGCTTAAGTTTTATTCTTGGCTGTGGGTTTTGAGTAGGTCTAAGTTGTTGAATAAAAAGTCCTCTATGTGTATCCTAAATCAAACAAAATGCAGAAATTAGATCCACTACAATGCAGAAAAATATCCCAATAAGAAGCCTAAAAGCTGCATTTTCAGCTTAAGCATAGTTTGAAAATACTCTGGGATACATTGTCCTGAACAAAGTGTATTGGAGGGATTTAGCAATGTGCCTCTTTATGTTCTGGATCAATTTATTTGCTATCCTTAAAATGGACATGAATAGAAGAGACCCAACATGCTTGATCAGCACTAACTTCAGCTGTTCTAGAACAAGCAGAATTATTTTTGAGCATTACTGAAAAATACAAACTTGCAACAATTTAATTCAAATAAAACTGGGTGAAAGGCACTTGAAAGTTTTTATTTAAGTCACATAATTCAGATAGCATTGTTAATATGAAACAGCAGTGTAAAGTACTGTGCTACTTTCTGGGGACAGAAGCAAGTTTTAAAGTACCTCATTCTCTTGAAACTTCATTACCCACATTCTCTTTTTTTTTTTTTTGCGCAAAGGGAGGTATAAAAAAAGATATTCACTCTGTTATTTTGTTATAAAGTTAGGGGGCAGTAGGAGGCAAAGAAAGGCAGGGAGGTGAAACACTGCACTTTGTTCCTGCTGCATCAAAATAAATCCCAGGAACCGGCAGTAAAATGTGGCTTAGCTATTACATGAAGAAATAAAATAAAATAAAAAAATGAGTCCAACCACCAGAATTTAAAGTCAAGGTTGAAATGCAGAAATCTGGCAATTTTTCAAATTAATACCCCTAGAACTGTTCAGAAGAGAATAGATTCCAATAAGCCCTGATTATATCTATAGTTTTTGATGCAACATCACTGCAGTGGAATCATTTTGCCCCAAATATTGAGAGGAAGGGTAGAGGGGAAACCAAGAACCACAGGCCACGTCTACACTACAGGGACTATAGCGGCACAGCTACTGCGCTGTGGCTATGCTGGCATAATCCTGTGGTGCAGACAGCCTATAGCCATTGCTGTAAGAACACCGCCTCCCCAAGCGATGGAACTTTCTTCCATTGACCTAGCTCCCTCTACACTGGCAGAGGCTGTGGCACTCAAGAGTGTGGATTTTGCACATCTGAGAGTGCCAGAGCTACGTTGACCTAAATTTTACATGTAGATCAGGCCTCAGTGGGTACATCTACACAGCAAAAAACCTCCCACAACAGTGAGATTCAGAGCCTGGATCTACAGATCTGGGCTCATACTAGGGCATTAAAACTAGTAGTGTAGATGTTCCCACTTAGGCTGGAGCTCACACTTTGAAACCTGGAGAGGGGAATGGGCCTCAGAGGGAACATATACACCGCTATTTTTAGTGCTGTAGCACAAGCCTGAGTCTGCAGAACAGGGTTAAGACTTGATGCCACAGGTCTTTTATTATTATTATTTTTCTTTTTTGCAGCATAGAGACAGTGTCCTTGATTCTTCACCCACAAGGCTTGGTAATAGTACTGTGACCTGCGTAGACCCTTTAAGGATATATATTTGCAATACAATACAATTGTGTGTATAAGTTTTTAAGTATTATTTCCCCAAGACAGTTCTTTTCTCTCTCATTTTGCATTCCTCTCCTCCCTTTTTTCTTTCAGTACCCTCATTTCTTTCCTGTTTTCCTTCCTCCCCCTACTTTCAAAATGTCTCAAATCCCATTTATGCTCATTCTTTTCTTCCCCTTCCTCCCTAGAAAGCCTTCATTTTTGCCTCCCTCTCTCCTCTCACCCCTGCACACATTTCAATATCCGCTTCTCCTCCCTGGAAGACATGGGAGTCTTCCTCCCTGTGCAAGCTCTGACCACCGTACATCCAGTTCCTCCTCCCCAACTGGGAAATCTCACTCTCAACAATCACCACCTACAGCGCTCTCTGTCTCCTCCCACTCACACACCCAACAGCTTCCATAGATCTAGCTACCTTCCATTACTGTACGCAGCACCTATACTACGGGGTTATGCCGCTATAGTCCCTTTAACGCAGACATGGCCTAACTTACCCATTACCTGATGTATCTCCATTCCTATGCTGTTAAAGATCCATGGTGGTGGGGGAGGAGGGAGAACCACCATAACCCTTTTCCTTCTCCCTCCTGCTAGCTACAGGAGCTGGGGCCAACTAATCGGTCCTCTTCTTCCCAGCTGGCAGCAAGGAGCAACTCAGACAAAGCTGCTGTGAAGCTTTTCCTACAGTCTGAGTGCAGCTCTTGCCCTTGCACTGCTCCCATTTAACAGCTGAGAACAGGAGAGTGAACAAGGAGCAGCTGAGCCTTCCCCATCCAAAAAAGGCCATTTAGGGGAGTGGAGAGAGAAATGCAGAAAGGTGGAGTGAGAAAGGAACTGTTTTCCTCCCTCTTCTACCCCCACTGGAAGTCAGGGGGACACATCCTCACAGTTATACCCGTGCTTCAGTGACTATGTAGGCTGAGCAATTAAAAAGAGATGTCTATATCTTTAAGAAAAAGGAAATTAATACTAGAAGCAGTGTCTCAGATGAGAACCTCAACAGAAGTATTACATCTAATTTTGTTCCTCTTAGTCTGGCAGCCATTCATTAAATAGGATTGCTAGACTGCAGATTTAGGGTCCTATCTCATGAGATTCTGAGCACCCACATTTTCCCATGGGAAATCTCTGGGAGATAGGACCCTCGGACAATCATGAGATATGATCCCTTTATTTTTGTGTGCAATCTATGAGAAAAACAAAAAATAAAAAAACGTACATACTCTCTTCTATTACATCATAGCTATGTTGCAAATCAGCCAAATTGATTTTTTTTTACCTAATTATTTCACCGAGCGGTTTTGTAAAGCTTTTTGACTAATGCTTTTGATGCAGGTTTTATTTTCTCATCATTTGTATTCAAAATGCTATCCCAAACTTTAAAGCACCAAGAACATCAGTCAACCCTCCCCCCCACCCACAAAAAAACCCCCCAAACCCTCATGCATCCAAATAGATATCCATGCATTCCCACCTTTTTGAGCCTTGCAAGAAGACTGGCTACATGTTCATGCTGCTCTGTTCTAGCGAGGTCTTCTGCTGTTTTCCCATCCTGTTAAAGACAAGTTATTAAGTGCAATCACTTCCTTTTGTCTGCAACAGAAAAACATGTGCAGTGTAGCTCAGTTCTGCTCATGGCAGTAACAGAATAAAATCGCTGTCAGAAGCAAATGGATTAGAAAAAACAGCCAGGATTAACCCCTAAACTGTAATCCCCCTAGTTTGTTTAATCATCCAAAAAAAGATAAGAAAATTCAAAACAACCACCTCTCTTTTGCAAAGTGGTATCTTGACATTACAGTAACAGGATGCTTTGGAGTCAGAGGCTTAGAGCAATGCCAGTACTCCCCTCTGAATGATCATTCTTCACTCTCCCATTTAAATATACAGGATGTTAGTGGATGGCAGAAATATCTAGATACATATTACATACCACATACAGGTTTAAAAGGCCACCAGAAGGACATGCATCAGCATATTTATTGCTATGTAAAGCAGGTAAATTATGTTTATTAACATGTAAGCATTGACAGTGGTGAATTAGCTACTGGATCTAGGTTTTCAAAAAACAAACAGTGTATGTGGCTTCTGATTTAAATAGCTTCAGCAAGTTTTAAAGGAGAAGCAAAACTGTCTTCAGCATTCTGCTCTTGACATTTAATTACCCATGTTTCATAGGTCAGCAGTTTAATATGAACTGAGTTGTAAGAAAAATTGCTTACTTTCTTTACTCTCTTAAGACTATATTAATGGTACTGCTTTTGTGCTGTGTTTGATGGCAAAACAATTTTTTATTTATGATTCGATTTAACTTTTTTTTTTAAAAGACAAGACAATTACTTTGCCATGTTTACAAAAAATTGTTGGTAAATTAAATCTTTTGGGGTTTCACTCCTTATTCCCATCACATCCAGTTTTTTATGCCAAATCTGCATTGTCATAAGTAGCGCATAAGATGATTGACAAATTACGGCTTTCACATCCATAAATCTAAAATAAACTAAAGTTCACTGTATATGTGCATTTTCTTTGTTGAAATAAAATGTTCTTGTCTATGAAAGGTCAAGGTCTAGTTACAGGAGACATTTTCAGGCTCCCATAACATTCAGTTTGAATACCACAACTTTAATAACTTCAGACAAGGTTGTTAGAGATTCAGGAATAGCAATATATCACTATCAGGAAAAAGCAGGAATTGAAACTGACAACAAGTGGGTAAATTTAAATTACTATTTTCTCTGTAAATCTCTTCCTCGGTTGCATAGTTAGCTTCTGCTTTACACAAACAAATATTTGAATTTCTGATACTTTCCTTTTCCTCTCCCTGTCAGCTTTTTGATCTAGGGAAACCTACTTTCTCTCTTCTGACCATCCTACACGATCTGCTGTTTTGGTCTTATGTTCTTGCTGTTTGAGGAAAAAAGCTGGTCGAGTGGTTCGGGTGCTCTGGGATTCAGGAGACCTGGGTTCAACTTCTGGCTCTACCACAGATTTCTTGACCTTGGGCAAGTCACCTTTTCTGTGCCTCTGCGTCCCATGTATATAATAGGGAAAATAGCACTGCCCTACCTCCCAGGGCTGCTGTGAGGATAACAGCATTAAAGATTGAGAGGTGCGTTGATACTCTGGTAATGGGGGCCATATAAGTAGTTTAGATAGATAATTAATCCATTAGCCAATCCTCACAACACCTCTGTGAGTAATTCTCCTGTTTTTACACCTGGGCGAACAGAGAGCAAGGTCAAGTGATTTGCACAAGTGGTTTATGTATGGAAGGGATGCATAAGCAAACCAGTATCCTATCCAGCTTCCTCTTTGCTCTGGAAAACACTTATGAACGTGGACTGAAAACCTAGGAGTCATGGAAGGCCCATAATGCTGTGAAATCAGTGTGATTGGGACTCGGAGACTGCACAGGGCCCCAGCAAGATTTTTGCTCCACTTAGGTGTGAGTGGTCATGGGGCTGAATCTGTACAGCCCACATTAGTCACATCTGTGACAGTGGAGAGGTAGCTTCTCTAAGCCATATTAACAGGGTGACAGAACCACACCCAGCCCAAATAATTGGAGTTTGACACTCACAATTTAGCCCTATATGGCATCTCTAAACAAACTGCCCCGGAATGCTATGTAAAATATAAAGCTGTATTGTAATTTATCAAAACATAAAATAAAACCCATGGAAAATAATAAGGTAACCATAAAAAAAGAAAAGCAGAAACAAAACTTTGTGTAAAGAATCCCTGAGAGCCTTGGGGGGTGGGAGAGGAGGGAGAATTTGTGACTTTTAACCCAGTGATGATAATAAATTGTCTTAAATTCTGGTCACCTCACTTCAAAACTACAGTTTAAACCACTGTGAACTGTGAAGAGGGTCACATCAGCAGGAAGGATTATTATGAGCAATTGAGGTTTAATTAACAGAGAATATGCCATTTGTGGATTAGGTATTACTGGCTGAAGGAGGCATCTAATCCCATGGAGGGGAAATATAAGGAACATTATCCTTCTCTTATGTCAATCATTATGAACACAAAGAGGCTGCAAAATTTTCTGGCTGCGAAGTACAGCATGTATTTGTACATTACAACATGTATTTGAAAATATACACATGCAGCTGAAATAGGATGTTTTTTTGATAAATGGCTTTCCTACTCAAGCTAACTTTACAAATGCTTTACAAAGTAGGGAGCTAGATACTGGAAGAGCAGTGGCTAAGCAAACTTGGCATCCAAAAAGGGCCTAATTTTCCCAAGTATGAACAAGTATTTAATATGTGCATGCAGATTAGGGCTTGTCTACCCTGGCAAGTTTCTGCGCAGTAAAGCAGCTTTCTGCACTCAAACTGCAGACGTGTACACACTGCCAGGCCAATTTGTGCGCAGAAACTCCTCAGTTGCAGTGCTGCAAAAAACCCACCTTGACGAGAGTCGTAAGGCTATTTGCGCAGAGACTCCAGCGCTCTATTGCCAGTGTAGACACTTGATTGCTTTCTGCGCTGTAATTGGCCTCCGGAACTGTCCCATAATGCCTCAAGTGACTGCTCGGCTCATTGTTTTGAGCTCAGCCGCCCTGGAGACATGCGCCCCTCCCCTTTCAAAGCGCTGTTTCTGACAGCCCTTGCATGCTGATCTGCTCCGGGACACACAGCAAACCATTAATGTGGAATGCTCGTGCTGTTGAACACAGAGGCAGGCGTGCGTGAGCATGTGTGCGCGCGTTATGCAGAGAGCCCAGGAAGAGAGGTGGGGCCTGATGCTGGAATTTCCCCCTCCCCCGTCTCAGGACTGGTTTCTTCCTGTCTCTCTCTGAACTTACAAGACAGCATGCTGACACACTCTCTCCCCCACTTCAGACACACACACACACACACACACACACACACACACACACACACACACA